TGTTAACCTGGATAAAAAAGCCAATCAAACAAAAAAAACCCTGTGGATGTGAAATAAGACCACAAGTAAATCTACAAACATCAAAAGGCAATTTTGGCATGAAGAACAGAAATCTTTAATGTAAATATCTTTACACTAAAAAAAAAAATATGAAAAAATATCTTGCACACAAACAAGCCTGATGCTATCAAACAGAGGGCATGAAATGCAACCCTCAGGTAAAAGAAGCAAAACTCTATAGACACCTCCAATACCAAAAACTGAGAAGCTGTTTTAAAGGCAAGAGTACAAAAGGTGAAGAGCTGCACCCAAATGCTTTCACACATCAAAATACAACATCTTTCAGAACTCCACTGATATTTCCATAGAGACAGAAGAGAGCACTGGGGCTCTAACCTCCTGGCTCTTACCTCCTCAGTTTTCAGCAACTCCTTTTTGGAAGTCTCTTTCTCTGAAGCAGCAGCATAAACCTGGATAGAGAACAAGCTCAGGCCAACAGGGGTAGCCCCCAGCCGAATTATCTGGAAACATTACAGGAAGGCATGAAAATAATTAAATTCAAACAAAATGGCAACATGTTTGAACACATCAATTTAGACAACGTTCATGTTCCCACATATGGTAATAAGTGATATATTAAGATGCTTAGGAGTTCAGAGAAATGGGAGTCTGCGGTACACAACCTTAATGCCTTCAGGGCACCCAAGTGATAACACCTAAATTGCTCGAATGGTACGTGTAAAAGCCTAAAGCTAAAGAAGACAGCAGATACGAAAGCTAATCTCATCAGTTTTCATCTCACAGAAACATCTTCTGTCTTGTCTCACTTGAAATATGATTTTCATCAGCTTTCTCTGTATAGATACTAACAACATTATATTCATAATTTAAGCAACATTGTGAATGTCCATAGTTGGAACCCAGAAGTGCAGCATCTAGAGTTAGGAAATAAATGAGACTTACACTTGAAACTATCAGAACATAATTACTGTTCTCTAGGAATTTTAGGAATGTCTTCTACTTTTCTGTGAAAAAGATGAACTACAGTTCATCGTGACAGATGCTTCACTGCTTTTGAACACAACAGATTCAATCCAGTCACACAACACAGCCAGCATGAGTAAGGTGGATATCATTCTTCCAGTATTCAGGGCTTACGCTAAATTGTATTTCTTAACAAGAGAGACTGTTTTAACTTAAAAAACAAAAGATAAAAATCTTAGCTGTGTAGTGAATCAAGAATGTACAGTAAGCATCTTCCAACACACACACATCCTTATTAACAGCAGTGTTTAACTCAAGAAACAGCAATTCAAATGGGTAACCTTTAAACCTCTCATTTCTGTTACCGCTCAGACAAAGCGTGGAGTCACAACAGCCTGTGTTTTGTTGTGTTAGCTTACGGCATGAGTATCCGACATGAGGTCTACAGGATACAGCATGAGTTTTAACAGCCTGCGGCCACCAAAGTGGAGCAGTGTGGCTGCGCTGGTGGCCTCATTTCCCAGAAGTCCTGCTGCTCATCCTGCCCTAGCTCTGGTGGCTGGACACTTCCACCACGAGGCAATTCACCTCACCAATTTGGCAAAAGATTAATCCTGAAAGAGAAGCAGAGAGCTTTCTGTGGGCTTAGTAATTGAACTCACACATGAAAGAGGCTGACAAGCACCAGAGGAACTGTGTGGCCAGGAAAGGGGATGAAAAAGGAGAAGGCAGCAAGCCCTCTTCCTTTTCAGAAATAGTAAGGGTACATTACATTGACCTAGCCGCTTGTGAAACTGAACCCTTGGTCAAACCAATACATCCTTCATGCTGTTATGATGATTACTGACCTATCCACAGGACAATTACTCATAAATTTTGTTTCTGCCCACTGCAGAACTGTTACAAAATAGCTTTAAAGTTATCCAGACTGCTTATTCTGTACAGATCAGCACTTGTAGCTTTAATTTCTTCCACTGCTTTGCAGATGGAATATTAAACACAACCAAGACACTCCTCAAACTCAAAATTAGACTATACAATTGTCAAACTTCCTGAAAATCTTCATTTATGTGTGGTGAAACAGCACACAAGAACTAGGTCATAGGGTTGCTTTTCAGAAAGACATAAGGAATCTGATGGATCAGAAGGTACAGAAAAACTTGCTTAAAATTGAAGTTTTTCCTTATTTGAATTTATGGACTAATTATTACAACACCACAATGAAACATCACAATGACAAGATCAGCTGTTTCACAGCCAAGAAAGACATGAATGATCTTTAATAGTGTTTGCTTAAACAAAGACTTTTCACATACTTTTATTACCAAGATAAAAACATGAACGCCACTAACCATTAACAGCTGTAGAATCTATTTCCTCAATCTTTCTTTTTTTTCCAGTGCAAAACTGAAAACGCAGAAATCTAAATGCATTTTCATTCTGAAAAATATTTTCAAACAGTGTAAACAGTGCTACATGCCACCAGCAGAAAAAAGTAAATCCAAATGCTTTAAATATTTGAGATATTTACATAAAAGATGCAAACAGCAGAGCTGAAGAACAGAAGCACCTTGGTTTCACAAACAAATCAGTGATCACAGAACAACTTGGACCAAACACATCAACTGTTCATACTACCAAAATACTGATGCAAAGACATTTTCCCAAGGTTCCGTATTTACATTTTAAACAAAAGAAAATTAATCACTAAAAGTGCAAGATGAATCTCTCTTTAATGTTCTGTTTAAGCTATGTTGCACTGGTCCGCTGCATCAGCTAAGTTAAGGACAGATATAACCACTACAAAAGCACTATATAAATGCACACACTGAAAGATTTATTTGGTAGTATTGGTAATATTTGGTAGTAAAGATTAACTGTTCTGCTTTTCATTTCCAAGACTCACTTTGGGATCTCATTTCTTAATTCCATCTTAACCATGCATTACTAAACACACTGGTTCAGTAAAAAACCTTGACTGAGTCTGCCCGTCTTACAGCTGTGCAGCTGTACCAAAAAAGAGCTGACTTTCTCTAGGCAATATTTTTCATTTACTTTAATAAAGATAAGGAATTTGTTCCTTTCTCTAGTTGAAGAATTCACCTTCATCTGTAGACATCAGATCACCTGTAAGCAAAATCTGAAAGTTGGAGGGAAAAAGACTATCGTATTTCATCTTCTATTGTTTTGCTTCACTGTCTTCCTCAAAGTTCTTGATTCTTAACTAAAAAATGCCTCTGGGAAGAAGAAATCCCATATTTATTGTCAATACAAATGGGAATGGAGAGCTAAAGATTAACCAGAACTTGTCTTCTTCCCTCTTGCCTGTGGCTTCTCAGTTCACTTGTTACTGTTACTGTCACCCTGTCAAAACCAGAGAAAGGAAGAACAAAAGGAAAACAAATCCCTAATCACACTTCTGTGAAGGCTGATATTTGTGCTAATGTATGAAGCTGCTTCATTTTTCTCTTTTTCTTTTCTTCCTTCTCTCAACCCCAACTAAAATAACAAAATCCCAGAACTCAGACTCTTGATCACTCCTGTTCCCTTAAGGACAGTTATCAAGGACAAGAAACCTCCTTCCCCTTTTGCTTTAGAGGTAAAAAAACAGGTTGGCCTGAAACACTGAAATCTGCTTAACCTCAATGGCTGCATAAAAGCAGTAATATTATACTCGGTACCTAAATCCACAGGTTCACACATAATGCCTTTAATGACAATTCAGTATTGCTTATGGAATTATCAACTCTGAGATAAAATCCCTATGTACATTCAGCAATTGTCTCAACATTAATATATATATATAAAAAGATTAAGTTGTGGCAAAAGACTGCTCAACATATCAATACATTGACATATTATCAATATCCGCCAAAAAAAAAAAAGGAATTAATTCCAAGAATCAAGCATCACCAGTTTCAATATGACTTAAACATACACCTTGCTTTTACCCTGAGGGGACATCTCAGGCTGCTCTCACCAGAGACAAAGATTTTTGAGACAACTACCTGACTTAAATCCAGGGCGGCCACCTTACTCCTTTCCACAGATGTAGCTAACAACCCTCAGACACTTGGGGATAAAAGTGTAGGCGCGCCGGGTGGGGAAAGAGTGGGGATAAAAGTGTAGGCGCGGGTCTGAGGAATGGTGGCCTTAATAAAGGACCTCTCCTATGGAGACAGGTTGAGAGAGTTGGGCTTGTTCAACCTGGAGAAAGCTCTGGGGAGACCTTAGAGCAGCTTCCAGTACCTAAAGGGGGTTACAAGCAAGCTGGAGGAACTTTTGACAAGGGCACGTAGTGGGATAGAACAAGGAAGAACGGCTTTAAACTGAGTAAGGGTAGATTTAGATTAGATGTTAGGAAAAAATTCTTCATTGTGAGCGTGCTGAGGCACTGGCACAGGTTACCCAGAGAAGCTGTGGCTGCCCCATCCCTGTCAGTGTTAAAGGCCAGGTTGGACGGGGCTTTGAGCAATCTGGTCTAGTGAAAGGTGTCCCTGCCCATGGCAGGGGGATTGGAACTGGATGAGTTTTAAGGTCCCTTTCAACACAAACCGTTCTATGATGTTCAGATATTCAGAGATGTCTCAGTGCCAGCAGAATTCAGATGGGGCTAGAGCATGGAGACCAAGATGGGGTTCCCTGCCTTTCTAATCTCAAAAAAATCAATTAAAACCCACCACACTACCCTTTTTTCTGTGTCTCAATGCTACCTGGTTTCTGCAGCTGAGGATGTGGCATCTCCCAGCTCACTGGAGCAAGTTGGACAAGAGCAAGTGTTTACACTTGCATCTGCTGTGCCTATCCCCATGCTGTCCAGCTTGTTACCTGGCGGTATTAGAACATCAGAAATGACAAGTACTAAGTTCCTGTCAGATAAAACAGGCCAAGGTAATACTGCATTTCGATTTAAATCCCAGGAGATCTGTTCCCATGATGTCAGTTAATAAACTGCTATTTTTTTTTTTTTTTTTTATTTGCTGATCAGGAATTTCCACCTTTTGTTGTGTTTTAAGATCTTTCTCAGCACCCAGGGCCAATGCAGCAAATGTGGAAAAAGAACAGTAAAACCATCAAATTAAGTGAATTAATTCATGTGTCATAACTTTCTGATCAGTTACTGGGATCTTTCTTTTTAACATTGTTAAAGATATTTATCCTCATACTTAAATTTTGGTCATGTAACACCGCATTTCAAATGCAAACAAGTGCCTTGCTTTTGCTGAATAACGTTCATTTTTCAGTAGCAGTGAAAAAATTACCCTGATGCTTAGTACAGCAACACTTGAAAGCATTAGTCTGTATTTTCTGTTCACATTAACTGTAATGTGTGGAAAATGTGGGCTCCATACACTGTGCCATACACTAGACACCCCGGTTCTGCTGGGGGGCCACTCCATCAGGAGTGGGGCTGAAGGGGTGATTCAGGCTGCCCAACTTCTGAAACCTCACAGCCTTTAGAAACCGAGCCTCTGCTGCCTTGGGATGAACTGGACATAGGCTGCACTGGTGGGTTCACTGCACCCCAATTCTGCTTTGAAGTGCACTCTCACCTCCTCCCTAGCGCTGAGAGAGAAGCCTACGCTCCTGGATTAGACACATAAGAACACCAAGAAAATAACATGAATCCTCTATTTATGATTTTTTTCAAGTCCCCAAAATATTACAGTAATTTAAAACAGTTAATACTGATTTTAGAATATGAAGCATAGCATGCTATTAGTGCTGGAAAATGTTATAAAAGAGAATTTTTACATAAAAGGTAAAGCACATGAGGAATACGGTAGCAAACAGTTCATCAGGAAGGGTACTGTAGGAAGACAGACGAGGTATGCACCCTCTTACCATCTTAAATTTTCTTTGTGATGACTTTTTCTGTTCTCTCATAAAGAAAAATCCTACATTTCTTTATTGAAGTCTCTTTATAGACCTGATAGAACCAGCATTAACAGGAACAAGTATTTTCTAGACTAATGGGGATGTTTAACCACTGCATTGCAGTATTGGGCGATGCTTCTCAACAAGCTGTCTGTAAAGTCAGCAGACAGTCCTTCTTGTTTGCTGGCACAGTGGCTTATTGTCAGGATCAATTTGAGATGAAGTAAGATGACTTCAGGTTTGTGCCTTTCCTTTTTAAAGCTTTGTTGCATTTTCCTGCTGTATTTCACAGGCAGCAGCTGATCCTTGCAAGTTAATGGAATATCAGAAATACCATGAACAAATGGCACCAAACAAGCTTCAATACCCAAACTACAGGATAACAGATGACAACGATATTTTATGACAGATTTGGTTATGAAGATTCCCTCTTCAGGAAGGAATATTTATATCTAAAATGCACGTGACCAATAGGTGAATCATGCTAATGGGCCTCTTTCTTCACTGCGTTATGCTTTGCACAGTCAGCTGTATCTGTGGAAAACAAGCAACCAGTGTGCAGCAAATAGTTGTAGAAAGCCAATTTTGCAGTATTTTATGGTAGTTTTGTGAGATTGCGGAGAGTGACCACACAGTTTCAAAGCAGTCACATTTTGTGATAGATTTTATTCATCCTCAAGGAGTTAGAGAAAGAACATTTTCAAAGCTCAAAATGACAGGAAAGCAATGAGAGGAGTCATGGCACTGAGGTGAATAATGCTGCCTGCTCTTGCTAGTTCTCAACCAAAGTGAAGTCCCAGGCTGTGGCTGGAGCCAGTTGTTACCCAATTTTACAGAGGAGAGATGTAAGAATATTTCAAGTGCATTCTCTTTTTAAGTTTGGTACAAGAACAGTAAAGAAAATTCCAATTGTTTATGGACATACAATGGTGCATATATTATAAATACATATTTTTGTGATCAGTTTATATTTGGTGACAGCACAATTATTGATACAATTATGTAATACAGATGTAAATACCTTAAGAACAGATGGTTGGTTTGGGGTTTTTTAACCAAACAATTTTATCTGCTCCAGCATCTTCAGTGCATTTTTTTTCTTCAATCTTTGAAGTGATTGATCTGACTGATTAAAATGAATGGGAAAACCTTTATAGAGAAGAACAACACAAATATATTCTCTTTCCTGTAGTTGTATTGTTCTCTTACAGCCTACCAGTAATCTGGTTGAAAGCCCTGTGTACCCTGGTGGCAGGAATAACTGCTGGAGAAGGTTGCCTCTGCAAAATCTCCCTGGAACAACAATAATACATGCCATAGTGGATTATGCACATTCCAAAACATTGTCAGAAAGGCTTAAAAAGGAGCTGAAGTTTCTGCTGCTGAGGCCAGAGCATCAAGAGCTTTGGCATGATCAGCTCCTGGCTGTTCCTAATGTAAGAACCTATACCAAGTTTCAGCTTCATTTTGCATGCCAGTGTTTTTCCTTCCCTTGGTATTTGGCTTTTCTACACACTTGTGAAATAAATATTTCCATTAGAGAGGCAGCTCAGAGAAGCTTGAAAATGTTGCCACAGTTCATAAACTACACCAGCCTGGGCAGAAATACATTTTAAGAAACTTGATCTCTAATCCTCTGCCTTAACCATTACAGTCTGAGCTTTCACAATGTCATATTACATTTCTTATTTACAGTTGAGGTTTGCTTTTTTTTTGTCAGGAAAACAAGAACAGCCCTTTACTAGTAATACAATGACAGTTACTTGCCACACATTTGTAAGTACAGTAGGAAAAAAAGGTATTTGTTGCACATACCTGTTAACATGACTTTGTAACATCTGCCCATTAAATATCTGTGCAGTTACCCACTCACACTGATCATTGGAAAACACAATTGTGAAAGGATGGATTATTTTGATGTTCTCCTTCATGATAAACTTGCTGTATATTAAAAAAAAACAAACCAAAAACCAAACAATAAACCAAAACCCAACATGTTTTGTCCATGCACCTTTTATTCACTAAAATAAATTAATTTTTAAATACCAGAACTTGCCACTGTGGTTTTGTCAGCCTGTTTGGAATTTATTTTTGAGGTCTTTATAAAATAAACTGCTTTTCTGCCTCTTGAAGGGTTTTGTGTTATAAGTTAAAATAATGCTGTTTGGCAGACCTCTCCAAGTTCTTTTGAAAATATGTAGAAATACACAATAGAAATAATAGAAAATACACAATGACAAAGGCTTGGGAAAACTCAACGTTCAGTTGTTAAGCAGCTTCATCTACCACTGTGAGCCTGCCTTGCTAAATGCTCTGCACAAAGCACAGCTGGAAGAGACATGTCGGGCAGGTATATAGCTTTCCTAGGTTGGTGTCCAAAGCACACAATCTGTATCTCATGTTCCTGCCACTTTTAGCATGTATTTGTTAAACAACTAATTTAACTGGCTTTTAAAGGGGTCATGAGGATGGAACTTTCCCAGTGCCTTTATGAAGGAAGTGTAGTTCGCATTCATAACAATACTATTTCTTTCTAATTTATTCACTTTGCAACTTGAAAAAACAAAGAAGGGGAAGGGGTTTGAACAGATTTTTGTATTTGTCAATACTGTTTTATTTGGAGTGAAACTTACCTTCTGCTTTTGCTTTTCATATTTCAGATGGGTCATTTTTCAGCATTTGTCAGAGGTGCTATTTTGGCAGCTATGAGATCTGAAGTCTTACATTCAGAAAACAAACTGAATGTTAAGGACAGATACCACTGTAGAGTTCTTTGTGCTTTCCCACTGCCTACCTTTAACTGCAGCAAAGGCATTACTGCATTCACATCTGTGATAAACCAGCTGTCTCGTCAGCTTTGTCATGTTCTGACAGCATTCAAAATATATTCAGTGCTTTCCACATAAGGATCCTATATTCTAAGACAAGGGACAAGTAGAAAAGAGAAACATATCATGCAAAAACCCAGTGTAATCCAACTGCTCATAGTTTTACTTTTGATATCACCATGGTTAAACACACAAACGTTCCTTCCTTAATTCAAAACCTTGACTTCTCACTGCAGCCATCAGTAGCTCTAGGTCCACATTTGTCAATTACTCCCTTCCAGCACAGACAAGTGATTTTTCTATTAACAAGTTGTTGATACTACCAACAGAGGTGTCAGCTAATGTGCAGTGTAGCAATCACCCTCTAAAGCACAGACGTATGCTACGAGTAGCAGTGAGAACACTAAACACCTTTTTGATGCTCTTAAGAGCCCATCACAACAAAGTGCAACTCCTGTAAAAATTTCAGTTGAGCTGGATACACTTTGGAAATTAACTGAGGCTAAAAGGGGATAAAGGTCTTGCATCTGTTACTAGAATATTGAATCTTTTTATCTTAAAAATTACTTTCACAGTAATCCTTAATTTCTTAGCAAGATGATGTATCTTTACCTCATTTGTGTATAAGTGTATTGACTTGTATGTAAAGTATGTAACTTCACAAATACATACAAGTAGTACCTTATTAACCGGAAGGACAGTTTCTAGGTCTACCAAATAATTTCTAATTAAAGGCATGCATTCCTTCTTTTACCTGCTCTTTAGTAATTAACAGTGACATGCTGAGCTTACTTTGTTACATATAACTCACTTTTAGGATGATCATTTTGAAGGGTTTTCATTTCTATTTTACTTTCTACCAGGACACATGATGTAGCTCTCCAGCGAATGAGAAGTAAAATGTATTATATGCTTACTATATATATATATATATATATATATATATATATATATATACACACCATTACATGCTTATTAGTCTATTACCGAGAGTGGTTAATTTTTTTGCTGTTGGGAAATTTCATTTTAATGTTTCTAACAGTATCCACACACACTTGAAAGGACGAGAGGAGTTACAGTGAGGTCCATGGGACTTAACACACACACGCAGATCAGCTGGAGAATGCAGCATATACTGCTACTTGCTGTGTGACATCTTGCATGATTCAAGCCATTGAGAAATAGCACAGATCTGTGTACTTGAGCAGTGCAGCCTACACTTACCTTGTTAGTTAATTCTTGGCTTAAGCCCTGACTTGCTTCCTCATTAAGCCCCTAGGCTGGGTCTTGAAGCCTTACAGGATCCAAGGGACCAGAAGAGCATATGGTTCTGCAGAGGTTTCTTGTGCAGCTTGAACAAGAAGGGAGACAGAAGGGAGCAGCACATGAAGAATCATCCAGTTTTCTTCTTCCTGATGCTGCCATCATCATTTGATGTAATAGGAGAAGAGCATAAGGGAAAAACCTTTATTATTCTATTTCTAGAAGGCACAATTTGGTTTCATGGCTTTATTTGTTCAGTCTAGAGTAACTCCCTTTTTGAGAGGGAAAGTCTGTATTTGGCTTTTAAAAATTTTTCTTTTTTAGATCTTCATTTTACTCTTACTGGCCCACTACAGCATCCATGCAGCCAGCACGTTACTCTTCTGAAGCTCAACATAAGCTAGCAAAAACTAAGAAGGCATATTCAACTGAGAGAAAATAAGAGGCATGAAGCAAAAATGGAAGCATGACGCCCTTTTCAGGATATAATCCTGTGTTTCTGTGGAGAACACTCATTAGCCAGGAAGTCTGTTACACTTGCTCTTTGGTACTGTGGCGTATGTTCATGCTGTTCATGTTTTGCACCTTTCCATGTCTTTGCCTCACATTCATCAAAAAACATCGTGTCTGGTACCTTCAACTACTGCTTCCATTGTGGGAGCATTTTCCACAAAGGAATAACACCCAACCTTACAAATGCTTAATCTTATGTGGAAACTCCAGGGCATGTTATAGAATCATAGAATAGTTAGGGTTGGAAAGGACCTTAAGATCATCTATCTCCACCCCCCCGCCATGGGCAGGGACACCTCACACTAAACCATGTCACCCAAGGCTTCGTCCAACCTGGCCTTGAACACTGCCAGGGATGGAGCATTCACAACCTCCCTGGGCAACCCATTCCAGTGCCTCACCACCCTTACAGTAAAGAACTTCTTCCTTATATCCAATCTAAACTTCCCCTGTTTAAGTTTTAACCCATTAGCCCTTGTCCTATCACTACAGTCCTTAATGAAGAGTCCCTCCCCAGCATCCCTATAGGCCCCCTCCAGACACTGGAAGGCTGCTATGAGGTCTCCACGCAGCCTTCTGTTCTCCAGACTGAACAACCCCAACTTTCTCAGCCTGTCTTCATACGGGAGGTGCTCCAGTCCCTGATCATCCTTGTGGCCCTTCTCTGGACTTGTTCCAACAGTTTCCTGTCCTTTTTATGTTGAGGACACCAGAACTGCACACAATACTCCAAGTGAGGTCTCACAAGGGCAGAGTAGAGGGGCATGATCACCTCCTTCGACCTGCTGGTCACGCTCCTTTTGATGCAGCCCAGGATATGGTTGGCTTTCTGGGCTGCGAGCGCACACTGAAGCCGGCCCATGTTCATTTTCTCATCAACCAACACCCCCAAGTCCTTCTCCGCAGGGCTGCTCTGAATCTCTTCTCTGCCCAACCTGTAGCTGTGCCTGGGATTGCTCCCACCCAGGTGTAGGACCTAGCACTTGTCATGGTTAAACTTCATGAGGTTGGCATCAGCCCACCTCACAAGCGTGTCGAGGTCCCTCTGGATGGCATTCCTTCCCTCCAGGGTATCAACCGAACCACACAGCTTGGTGTCATCAGCAAACTTGCTGAGGGTGCACTCAATCCCACTGTCCATGTCACAGACAAAGATGTTGAACAAGACCGGTCCCAACACTGATCCCTGAGGGACACCACTTGTTGCTCGTCTCCAGCTGGACATTGAGCCACTGACCACAACTCTTTGTGTGCGGCCTCCCAGCCATTTGTTTGTCCAAGTGGTCCATCTATCAAATTAATATGGCTAAAGCCGGTTCCAGGAGCCTTTCACAATCACTAATGAAAACTGTTGCTTCCCCCAGCGATCCCTTCCATGTTTAATGGGTGTTACCACCTCTGACTTCTCATAATGTAAAGGTGTTTATGCTTTTGCCCCTACTCCCTACAGAGGAGGGAAGTGGTTGTCACAGTTCATGATGCAGGAGCTGAAGGGGCACAGGGTAGTAGCACACCGACTGACACCCTCTTTACTTTTAGCTGTTTCTCGCTGGCACAGCATTTGAAACTATCTCTTCAGTCTCATAAACGAGGACAATGCCGTGCTGGCATAGGTCAAAACCAATACTCCAGCTTGCTTTGGCAGTTTTATAGATCAGAAAAGTGTCACATTTCTCAAGTGTGTCTGAATACATTCTTAGTCTTGTTCATGTGTAACAATGCATGGTATTACACAGGTACAGAAACTCGAAGTTACAAATGGGAGCCACTTCTCTGAACATCAAGTGATAGCAATTTTCATAAACTAAAAAGCCTGAGGGACCATTCTACTGCTACACAAAAATGGGAATATGAAGCAGGTAAATTGTATGCCTGGTCCCGTATCTGGAGGACACTGGACCATTTCCATCCACAGCAAACACATAGATCTTCAAAAGTTAAGGCACTAGAAAGCTGCTAACCCTTGTAGTCACTTCAGCGCATTTTGCCCTGCTTTGAACAAGGCTGCAAGTCTGAAAGCAGAGCTTCCTACACCAGTTTAACAAGTTTAGCAAAACAGACATTCATGTAATTCGTTTTTACCATGAGAAAAAAATAAAACATCCACACTGCAAAGCTAGGACAAAACTAAAACTGAGCAACTGCCATCATTTTGTAAGGTTCATAACTTCTGCAGAGTACAGCTGGTTGAGTATTTGGGTGTTAGCAATTTTGTACTGAGATGTCTTTGGCTGGAGTATTTAGTTTGTTTAACTCATGTAGAGGTCAGCCTCACTCCCCCTGTTTTCAGAGAATGTTACTGAGCCAAAATCCAGCTCTTTCAGAAACCACTAAAATACTTCCAATATGGTTGCTTATTGGATCAGCTCTCAGTTTCAAGACCATGAAAAGTCATTAGATTAAAAGCTGTATTTCAGCTAATCAGCATCACTTTTTTTTCTTTTTCCTGACTACATAATTCTTTTCAGTATTTTGGATAATCTGTCAGGAGAAACAGTGAAGGAAAAAAAACCTATCACTTAACAGTAACTCTTCCAAATTTCAATAAAGAAATTGCAAATCAGGAGATAAATACACATAAAAAGAAGGTTTTGCACTCTGAAAGATCTTCTTCTGAAACTCTAAGTTTCCTTAAACAGTGCTCAAGGCCAGGTTGGACAGGGCCCTGGGTGACACAGTCTAGTGTAAGGCATCCCTGCCCATGCCAGGGTGTTGGAACTAGATGATATTAAGGTCTTTTCCAACCCAAACCATTCAGTGATTCATTGTAAGAATAAGGTCTTGGTATCAAGTTGCCACCTATGTTAGATTAAAAAAAAGTTAAATAAAATTCTTTCAGAACTACTTGTAAGTGCCAGAAGAAGAATAGAGATGTGTGACATCGCCACTTCTAGTATCACCACTTCTAGTGATACATGTGGGTGCTAGGGATATAGATAGCAGTAGCCTGAGGAACATGAAGGATTACAGAGCCCTGTGAGAGGTGGTTAGGGGCTCTGGAGCTCAGACAGTCTTTTCATCAATTCTCCAGGGTACAGGGGAGGACCTAAGAAAAGCTAGGATGATCAGCCAGGTTAATAACTGGTTAAAAGGGTGGTGTCATAGTCAGGGGTTTGGGTGTCTTGAACATGGGACCCAAGCTTGTAGGCCAGGTCTAGTAGGGGCTGGTGGAGCTGTTTTGGGAGGAGGCTTGCCAGGCTGGTCAAGGAGGCTTTAAACTAGATGTGTTGGGGGAGGGGGCATCATTCCATTCCAACACACCCAGTCAGTTGCCAGCACCTATAACAAATGCTCGGAGCAATGTAAAGATATCCCAGCCACTCCAGCCAATGAACCGGCTTCAGTTGGAGCTCGGCTCAGATGCCTCTATACAAATGCCCATAGCATGGGGAACAAACAAGAGGAATTGGAGATGTGTGCACATCTACGGGGGTGTGATATAACAGGCATCACAGAAACATGGTGGGATGGCTCCTATGACTGGAGTGTTGGAATGGAAGGTTACAGGCTTTTTAGAAAAGACAGGCCTGGCAGGCGGGGAGGGGGAGTTGCCCTTTATGTTAGGGATAGGCTGGAGAGCATGGAACTCTGTCTGGGGACAGGTGAGCAGTCCACAGGGAGTTTGTGGGTCAGGGTTAAAGGGAATATAGCTATGGGAGAAATTACTGTGGGGATCTGTTACAGACCGCCTGATCAAGGAGAACCTGCGGATGAAGCACTCTACAGACAGACAGGAAAAGCCTCACATTCACAGGCCCTTGCTCTCATGGGTGACTTCAACCACCCTGACATCTGTTGGCACGACGGTACAGCCTGGCACAAGCAATCCAGGAGGTTCCCCGGTTGTGTGGAAGACAACTTCCTTCTTCAAGTAATAGAGGAGCCAACAAGGAGAGGTGCCATGCTTGACCTCGTGCTCACCAACAGGGAAGGGCTCGTTGGAAATGTGACGCTCCAGGGCAGCCTTGGTTGTAGCGATCATGAGATGCTCAAGTTCGAGATCCTCAGGACAGTGAGAAGAGCGTGCAGCAAGCTCACTGCTCTGGACGTCAAGAGAGCAGACTTTGGCCTCTTCAGGAACCTGCTTAGTAAGGTTTCATGGGGTACAGCCCTAGAGGGCAGGGGGACCCAAGACTGTTGGTTGATATTCAAGGATCACCTGCTACAAGCTCAGGAATGTTGCATCCCAACCAGAAGGAAGTGCAGCAGGAGGGCCAGGAGACCTCCTTGGATGGATAAGGAGCTCCTGAGGAAAATTCAAATGAAAAAAGAGGCTTACAAAAGGTGGAAGCAAGGACAGGCGGCCTGGGAGGAGTACAGGGATGTGGTCCGGGAAGCTAGGGACCAAGTTAGGAAAGCTAAAGCCCAGTTAGAATTAAACTTGGCTAGGGATGTTGAGGATAACAGGAAGGGATTCTATAGGTACATAGCGAATAAAAGACCAGGGAGAATGTAGGCCCCCTCAGGAAGCTCTCAGAAGAACTACCTACACAGGATTTGGAGAAGGCTGAGGTTCTGAATGACTTCTTTGCCTCGGTCTTCATCAGCAAGTGCTCCGACCACACCACCCAAGCCTTGGAAGGCAGACACAAGGACTGTGAGAATGAAGACCTTGAGCCCACTGTAGGAGAGGATCTGATTCGAGACCATCTTAAGAACTTGAATGTACACAAGACCATGGGACCATGATGAAATCCATCCATGGGTCATGAAGGAGCTGGCAAATGAAGTTGCTAAGACACTGTCCATCATATTTGAGAAATCATGGCAGTCAGGTGAAGTTCTCCACGACTGGAAAAGGGGAAATATAACCCCTGTTTTCAAGAAGGGGAAAACGGATGACCCGGGGAATTACAGACCAGTCAGTCTCACCTCTGTGCCTGGCAAAATCTTGGAGCAGATTCTCCTGGGAGGCATGCTAAGGCACATGAAAATCAACAAGGTGCTTGGTGACAGCCAGCATGGCTTCACTAAGGGGAAATCCTGCCTGACCAATTTGGTGGCCTTCTATGATGGGGCTACAGAACTGATGGACAAGGGCAGAGCAGTTGAAGTCATCTACCAGGACTTGTGCAAAGCGTTCGACACTGTCCCACACGACATCCTTGTCTCTAAATTGGAGAGACATCAATTTGATAGGTGGACCACTCGATGGATAAAGAACTGGCTGGATGGCCGCACACAAAGAGTTGTGGTCAATGGCTCAGTTTCCAGCTGGAGACCAGTAACGAGTGGCGTCCCTCAGGGATCAGTGTTGGGACTGGTCTTGTTTAACATCTTTGTCGCTGACGTGGACAGTGGGATTGAGTGCACCCTTAGCAAGTTTGCTGATGACACCAAGCTGTGTGGTTCGGTTGATACCCTGGAGGGAAGGAATGCCATCCAGAGGGACCTCGACACGCTTGTGAGGTGGGCTGATGCCAACCTCATGAAGTTTAACCATGACAAGTGCAAGGTCCTACACCTGGGTGGGAGCAATCCCAGGCACAGCTACAGGTTGGGCAGAGAAGAGATTCAGAGCAGCCCTGCTGAGAAGGACTTGGGGGTGCTGGTCGATGAGAAAATGAACATGAGCTGGCTTCGGTGTGCGCTCGCAGCCCCGAAAGCCAACCGTATCCTGGGCTGCATCAAAAGGAGCGTGACCAGCAGGTCGAAGGAGGTGAAACTGCCCCTCTACTCTGCTCTCGTGAGACCTCACCTGGAGTATTGTGTGCAGTTCTCATGTCCTCAACATAAAAAGGACATGGAACTCTTGGAACAAGTCCAGAGGAGGGCCACGAGGATGATCAGGGGACTGGAGCACCTCCCGTATGAAGACAGGCTGAGAAAGTTGGGGTTGTTCAGCCTGGAGAAGAGAAGGCTGCATGGAGACCTCATAGCAGCCTTCCAGTATCTGAAGAGGGCCTATAGGGATGATGGGGAGGGCCTCTTCATTAGGGACTGTAGTGATAGGACAAGGATTAAAACTTAAAACAGGGGAAGTTTAGATTGGTTATAAGAAGGAAATTCTTTCCCATTAGGGTGGTGAGGCACTGGAATGGGTTGCCCAAGGATGTTGTGAATGCTCCATCCCTGGCAGCGTTCAAGGCCAGGTTGGACGAAGCCTTGGATGACATGGTTTAGTGTGAGGTGTCCCTGCCCATGGCGGGGGGGGGGTGGTGGAAATAGATGATCTTAAGGTCCTTTCCAACCTTAACTATTCTATGATTCTATCAGGCAAAATCACATGGAACATCCTCAGCCGACCAAGGACACCCAAGTGACTAGATCTCCATCCTGTGAATAAATTAGTCAAGAGGGCTTTCAGAGAGGTGCAAGGTGACAGCAATTTCTTGAATTCCAGGAGTGAAAATGAAGGCTGTCACTACATCAAGATAGGGGACAATGCTTAGGCCATGCCTTACATTGACACCAGTGTCATCAGCACAAGCAGAATCCCATGCATTTTGTATGTATTTAGTAATCCAGGGAGGTAATTACAAGAGGAAAACACCTTGGAATTGCGACCGTGGAAGTTAAACATGGGGGAAATACTTGTTTTCAGTCAGTACAATGCAATTCTTTTGACAGAGAAGGGCTGGTAAAGTCAGAAAGTCTCATGAGCAGTACTGAAACACATATAAACAGACCCATAATATGCATGATTCACTATAGGAGGTGAAGTTTCCCACGCAGCAAAAAAAAGGTTGGTGTTAATTCAAACTTGTAGGATGAGCCGCATGACAGGGGGAAAAGAAAAAGAAAAAAGGAACAAACCAGTGCTCAGGACATACTGAAATTTGTTTGGGAAAGGAGGCTGCCAGCCTGGGCTAAAGACAGATCTGTCTGGTAAAATCAGTGTGATAAAAACTGCTAATCATTAAAGCCATCCATCTCATTAGAAAACAAGTGAGTTTTTTTTCAGCACCACTTACTGAGCAACATTTATCCATAATAGAGTGACAATGCAATACCAAGAGCAACATTGCCAGGAGACGCATTTGACAGACATCAGTTACATGGCAAAAAGTATTTTAGTTCTAGAAGTCCTACAGTCTAGGAGGCTTGGCACTCAGCATGTGACATTTTATCTTGGCATTCACTCCAATGGACAGATGAGTGAAGAAGAGTCACTGGGTACTTAAACAGAGATCATGATGCAGTTTATTTTTACCTGTAAACATTACTTAAAGCACCTGTCAGTGCAAGTAAAGCATCAACTGTAAAAGTGGAAACTTTAATGTAAACAAAAAATTAAAGCTGTCTTTACACACAGACCTCTTTCTTTACACACAGACCTTTACCCTCTTTCTTGAAAGAACGACAGTTCTACACATGCAAGAAAGTTGCC